TGTCAATGAGCTTTTCCATAGGTTTTTCAAAAAAATTTCAAGTATTTAAAGGTCATGGATTATGCAATTTGAAAAACACATTTATTTTGAAAAAAACTTTGAGCTTATGCACTACAATTTACCATATAGCCTTACACATGAGTCTAAGTCCTAGAGATATAATTCTAAATAAGATTTTGGACTTAACTTCATGTCTTGGATCTTTACTCGAACTTGATGTTTGGACTTGTTAGATAAGATAATGCATGACACTTTGTTGGTTTTGATCATTTTTTACCATGGTTGTGATATTGAGCTTCTCTTAGATGTTATCCATGGTTAATTGCCTTTGATCTTCAATGTTTATCCTTGTTCTTGCCACTTTGATGACTCATCATTCTTCTTGTATGACTTTATCATATATCTTTAATCTTCACATAGGCATTAAGCTTTTTGTTCTTGATCAAGGTTGTTCTCTTTTTGTTGTTGTCGTTACTTTGTTATCATCAGAACGTATATTGTAAAAAATGTCTTAAGGAACCGAACCGAACCATTTTTGAACCGAACTGAACAGTTTAAATCAATCCAGTTCGATTTTTCAAAAAATTCAGTTCAATTTGATCATGCACACCCCTACTTGTGAGTAGAGTTGAAAGTCGGCTGGGCTGGGCTAAACTTTGCCATGAAAAGCCTAAGCCTACACAATTTTTTTTAATTTGGCCTGTCCCAAGCCTAGTACGAGTCTAGCTGTTAGCCTGGCTTGACCCGTTTATAAAAAATAAATGGCTTGGCCTAGCCCATTAGCCTGTTAATTTTTAACTTCTAAGCAGAACCATGAACCAACTTTACAAAATACTTAAATTCTGTTGCTAAACCAAAAATCATAATATCAACATCCAAACAGAATCATTAGTCACAAAAAAACTCATGCAATCTGCATTTAAGTCACTTTCAAAAGCAAAATGCTCAAACTAAATAACATATATTTCATCATATCAACAAACAAATCCATACTATGTAAGTTAAAATAACTACATGAATCCAACAAACACATCATGATACTTGTAGTAAGTAAAACATCTCCCAAAAATCTTTTAATATATTCATATACAGAATCTAACATGCTGAGATGTTGATTCCTCCTACATAAGAAATAAAGTCAGATTTCTATTAAAATATAATTGAATATAATTAAATTATAAATAATTATAATTGATTAAATTTATATCTTTCATTTTTTCTTCAAGGCTGATGGTCCTCAAAAGTTGAGGCCCATTAAGTGTAAATTGTTCTACAAAACCCATGTTTGGTTATAAATCACTCCCCTCAACCTTCTTCTTTCCATATAGAGCAACTGTTTTGAATAGTGGACCAGAGCAATACCGAAAGTGGGAATTAAGGTAGACTTGGAACAAATTTAACATTATCTTTTTCATATGACTATCGGGTTAGTTTGCTTTGTTCAGGACACCTCAGGCCTATAAGAAGGAACCACAAAATGAAGAGAGAAGAAGGAGGGTTGCGCAAAAAGGAAAAAAAACTGCTGTAGTACAACAGCAGTCAAAGGAAGCAATGGGAAGCCGCCACGTCAGCCACAGCAGAGAAGGTGGAGGTGCTACCTCTGCTACAGTACGGAAGCAAGAAAGCTGAGCAATCAAAAGCAGCCACGTCAGCTGCAGCAGAAGGAGTGGAGGTGCCTCCCTGAATCCGATACTCCTACTCACAAAGGGAGCCAAAAGCAAGGGGGACCACTTCCATTTAAGGCCAAGCTGGCAAGAAGCAAAGCTACCATTGGAGAGGATTTAGACAAAGCACGACCCTTGATGAAAGGAACAATGGAGATCAAATGAAGAACCCTATAAAAGGAACAAGCAATCCTCATAAAGGGCATCATCAGCACCCATCCTAGGACTCGTTATCTTTTTGTTTTCTTTTTGTAAAAATGCTCACTAGGAGCTAACTTCCTCTAAGTAGGTGAGGGTTCCATAGAAGTAATCCCTTTTGTCTTAGGATAGCTTTGTAAGGAACACATATTTTATAAATGAATTTTGAGTTGCTCTTTGGTTTAATTTATTGATTTGTGAAACCCTTTGGGCTGGCAACCTCATCCCGGGACCACTCGGTTGATGAAACACTGACAAAGGCGTGTGGAGCATTCTCAAAATCCTGTGGTAGTTTAACCTGAAGAAAGGAGGGAGAAACACCTGGAATGAGGAGCACTGCCATGTGAATCCATGCTCTTTTGAGAAGGCAGCATGGTTTCCTTGCATTTAACTCCAAGTACTATGGAGTAACGTGGAGAGTAAGGCCTTACCCTCTGCTTACCTATAGCAAAACAAGGGAAGGAGCAAAATCCACTTGTAAAATATGCTACCAAGCAGGGTTAACCAAAGGGATGAAAACATGGAACCCGTAACACCTACTTGATCTTTTTTTCTGAAATTAATCTTAACTCAACTTCTATCACAACCTTTTCCTCACGATAACTGAACTGTGTTTTACCAGCTGATGCTCTTACTTTCATTTCGTTGACTGCTCTTAAAGTTACTTCAATTGATGCCTTTTTATTCGATGACTGTGCTAAGTCATTCACTGCTCTCATCTGGTTCAGAATGGTTAACATTGTTTAACTAGCTGCCCAGAGATTGCTCTTTGTGAAGCTTAGCTGAGAATAGTAATTTCTTTTATTGCTCCATTTTACAAATTAAGTTTCCTTTAGCGCTTCTTACTTCACAACTGCTCCCTGAGGACGATAAATCTGGGGCTACAATACCCTATATTGCTTGACACGTACGCTTGCGTATAGTTGAAGAGGGTTGCTCTTAGTCAGAGTAGATTGCTCCTGTTGGCAATCCTGATTACTACTCTACACTCTTGCTCTCTGAAAAAATATTCCCGAGCAGCTCTCGGTTCGACCAAGCAAAGGCATATTTATTATATTTTATTTTATTTAAAATAAATAGTACAATATAGGTCGGCCTGTAGGCTTATAAGTCAGACCTTGTGAAAGTGAACCTACAACCTTTTTATTAAACAAGCTTTTTCAAGGACCAAGTCCGGCCTACTTTACGAAATATACTAAGTCAGATCTGGCCTGACGTAGGCCCCCGTAGGTCGGGCCGGTCCAATTTCACACCTACTTGTGAGGACCTTCTAAACTTGTGATGCTTTGGATCCTTTTGCTGGGAACCATTTAGTTTGTTTTCATAAGGGGTGGCAATTTATGACACGACCCGCGAACCCGACACGAAAATTTCTTGTATGGGTCAACCCGTTTAGTAAATGGGTCGTGTTAGGGTTGGAAAAAAGTGACACGAAAAAAATCGTGTCGGGTCACGGGTCAACCCGTGAACCCACTTTGACCCGTAAAAAATCTGGTTCAATTTAAAGTTATTATACTAATTATTCCGTGGTATAAAAGGAAAAAAAAACGCCTTAGCCCTTAGGGGGCGTTTGGTTTAGGAATTTTTTTTGGAATAGTAGGGAAATGAGATAGATAGAGAAATGATTGGAAAGATAGATAAAGTGAGATAGGTAGAAAAATGTAAAAAAAAGTTGTTTGGTGGGGAAAAACTTTACTGGGAAAATTAGGTAACTTTATGAAATCAACAGTGCATTAAAAGCCAGATAACCGGTTTTCTGAAAAATCCCACCTTCAAATTGGGTTTCTAAACAGTGCGGATATCTATGTTTCTCATAAATCCAGACAAATTGGATAGATGGGTTTTTGGTGAAAAACGTTGAAACAAACATGGTATTTCTAAGAAAGATAGATATCCGTTAAAAAGCTCCCAACCAAACACCACCTTAGGGTTTCCATTTAACAACGCAACTCTCTGCCCCGTCTCTTTGCTCTCGCCTCCAGTGCAGCGTTTAAAGTCTTGTTGTTCGAACAAGGAATCAAACGAATCTGGTATGCATTTGTCGCGGGTTTGAGCTTGAATTTGAGTCTTCTTGTTTATTACAGTGTTTAAAGTATTTTTTTTAACACTTTGCATTGCAATTTGAGTTTGAAATGTTGAATCAAAATCGGTATACCCCTTCTACACACCTTCTTCTTCTAGTTTGCATACACGTTTTCAACCATCTATTGAGCTTGAAATGTTGAACACTTTACAGGTACCTTTTTCCAGTCGCGGGTTTCTAAGGAACAACCCTGTTGAGCTTCTGTTGGTTTGCGTTGAAACCCCTTCTTCTTCTTCTTCTTCTTCTTTTTCGTATGAAAAAATAGTTGCTGGTATGTTTATATGTCTGTTTATCTAATAATATGCTATGGTGTGGTGTGGGGTTTGACAACAGTAAGAAAATTGACTTGGGTGATTGTTTTATTCACTTGATTGTTTTTATTTTATTTTTTTGCTAAAGCTGGTTTCTGAAATTGGGGGACTAGTTATTGCAAGTCAAGTTTTTTGGGACCCTGAGAGTTTTGTTAATGTTTTCTATCACACTCTAAGAGGAAGAAGATATAGTAGGTTCTGGTTATTTATTTCAGTTGTCTTGGCATACTAAACATGAACTTGTAGTTGATCTGGTTGAGGATTCAATTACTTTTCCAAATTATGTGTGACAAGCCTGCTATCAAGGCAAAAGACATTTTAAAATTTGAAGAAGTGGGGTGGAACATAGGGCTACTAAAAATGGAAGATAGTAGCTATATTAAAGATAGGCAGCCATAGGTCTTTCTTTAGACCCCTCTAAACTCATGCTAAGCGAGGGAATGAATCTTCTCCTATTAATTTGTGTATTATCTCGCATCATATATATTTCCAAATCTGCATAAGCCCCATTTATTTAATCTAAATTTACATGTGAGATTTTAATGGGACATGATCAATTATACTCATATATAATAACTTTAATTTATTATTCATATGAGCAGTTAGATATAAGTGGAGATTGAATTTAAATTTTTTTATTCTTATATAAATGTAATATATGTACTATATGTAATATATGTAAATTCTGAATTTTGCTTTCTCATTTATAGAATAGATATTCTAACTTCTCCTTTTTACATGTAGATGGACTTTGAATCACAAAACAGCATTGAAATGATGGATCACGAGGTTGATGTTCAAGATGCAAATGTTGAGGGTGATAATACAGCTGGGTCAGCGTCTGCAAAGGTGCCAACAAAGAAACCGAGAAAGTTAGTATCCAAGGTTTGGCAACACTTCGAGCGCATTCCAGTAAATAAGGATGGATGTAAAATTCAAGCCAAATATAAGTATTGTGATCAATTATACATGGCTGATAGTAAATATGGCACTGGTAATTTAAAGCGACATTTGGATGGATGTGTGAGAAGAGATACAAGGGATGCTGGGCAGATGATGCTTTCAAATCAAAATAGCTCCTTAAGTTTAGAGCCTAAATTTGACCATGAGAAATTTAGGGAGTTATTGATAGCTGCCATTATTATGCATGATTTGCCATTTCAATTTACTGAATGGCAAGGCATTAGAGCTCTTCTTCTATATTTGCGTGCGGATTTGAATATTATAACTAGAAACACAGTGAAGGCTGATTGTGTTAAGTTGCATAAAAGGGAGAAAGATAGATGCTTGAATATGTTAAAGGAGAATACCAGTAGAGCTAGTTTAACATCTGATTTATGGACTTCTTTAAACACTGATGGATTTATATGTTTGACTGCACATTTTGTTGACAAGAGTTGGCATCTGCATAAAAGAGTTCTAAATTTTGGGTTTATCCCACCTCCACATACTGGAATCTCATTGGTTGAAAAAATTCACACCTTTTTGAAGGATTGGGGGTTAGATGGGAATTTTTTTTCAATTACATTGGATAATGCTTCTGCAAATGATGTTTGTGTTCAATTTTTGAGAGATCAACTGTCGATAGGAGGTGGACTTTTATGCAATGGTGAGTTTTTTCATGTGAGATGTTGTGCTCACATATTAAATTTGATAGTTCAAGAAGGATTGAAAGAGGTTGATTATCTATTGTGAAAGTTAGGGAAAGTGTTAAGTATCTGAAGGGGTCACAAGCAAGGAAACAAAAGTTTTTGCAGTGTGGTGCTCAAAGTTCTCTTGCATCTAGAAGAGGTTTCAGGCAAGATGTTCCATCAAGATGGAATTCTACTTTTCTCATGCTTGATAGTGCACTCTTCTATAAACGTGCCTTCATGCACCTTGAGTTAAGTGATTCTAACTACAAATATTGTCCATCTAGAGATGAATGGGACAGGATAGAAAAGATCAATAAGTTCTTGCATGCATTTTATGATATTACTCGCGTCTTCTCTAAAACAAAGCATCCAACTGCAAATCTTTACTTTCCTTATGTTTTTACTGCACATCTGACATTACAAAAAGGATTGAAAAGTGATGATGCTTATATTGTGAATATGGCTGAAAAGATGTTCACTAAATTTGACAAATATTGGTCTGAATTTAGTATGATTTTAGCCATAGCTGTCATTTTGGATCCTAGATATAAGATGAGTTTTGTTGAATGGTGCTACAATAAGTTGTATGGTGATGATGGGGTGAACGAATCAACAAAGGTGAAAGACAAATTGGTTTCCTTGTTTAATGAGTATGCAAATGATGGAATCAGAAACTATTCATCTATTTCTTCAACAAGGAGGGCTGGAGATGGTGGGAGTGAGACAATTGATGAAACCTCAATTTCTGCTACATCTAGAGATGTTTTGAGTGTTAGTTAACATAATTATTTGTCTTGTAATTGTTTATATTCTTTTGTATATTTATTGATTTTATTTATTTTATAATATTGTTAGGAATTTGATACTTTTCATGAAGTGATTGTGCCACGAAAGACTCAACTTGAATTATATTTAGAGGATCCAAGGATTGACAGAAGAAATATTAGCTTGGATGTGTTATCATATTGGAAGGCTAATCAATTTAGGTATCCAGAAGTTGCTGCAATGGCAAGAGATATTTTTGGGATACCTATTTCTAGTGTTGCTTCGGAAAGTGCTTTTAGTGTTGGAGGAAGAGTACTTGATCAATACCAAAGTTCACTCAAACCTGACATAGTTGAAGCATTGATTTGCACTAGAAATTGGTTATATGGAGAGCAAGGTAATATACATTATCAATCACTTATTCATTAACTGTTTATTTTAAGGATTTTAGTTAACTCATTTGATTTTTATTTTTATAGAGCAATTAGCAATAGCTTTGGAAGAATTGACAAAAGATATCATGGACATGAATCTACATTCAATAGTTGATCATGGCGCTCAAAATAGTTACTCAGTTGCTTGATGACTTTTATATTTCAAATTTTTAATCAGTTAAACGATCATGAATTTGTGATCTTAATTTGTATTTTGGTGGAAGAAGTTGCTGTAAGAATCAGACATTTGTTGTAGGTTGCATTTAATTATGTTTTGATGTTGGATTGATGGAGTTCAATGTAGTAAGTTATTTTGATTTGAATTAGATTAAACACTTTTAATATGATTTGAATTAATATCACTTTCTGTTTACTCGTGTCGGGTCGGGTCGTGTCGTGCCGTGTAAATAAAGGTTGCCCTCAAATTTGGGTTGTATCGTGTCAACCCGTTTATAAATGGATCGTGTACGGGTTGAGTTTTATAACACGATTTGTTAATCGTGTCGTATTCAGGTTGAGTCTATTCGTGTTCGTGTCAGACACAGGTCGACCCGAACCCGACCCATGAACACGAATTGCCACCCCTAGTTTTCATTTCCCATTCTAGTTTCTTTTTTCTTTGGGGCTACACCCATCTATTGTACCAAAAAAAAATAAAATAAAAAATCAAAGTTAAACCAAGTGGATCAACCTCGTAAGTGTTATGGACTCACATAATGAGTCTCACAAGATGTCACAGATGAGAGTCCAAATCCATCGTAATTCAAGATATAAATTAGAAATAATAGACCTTATTCAATTGAGAGTTTGAATTCTATTTAAAGTCTGTCACCTTCATATAAACCCTCCCCTCGCAATAATGGATAAAACATCTTCATGTAAATCCCAATTCCAAATGCAACGATTTCTGTATGTAAAACGTCTATAAAAGACATCTTTATTATATCAAGAGTAAACACCCTTTTTAGTCCCTGGCAATATCTACGAAGTCCTTTTCAGTCCCTGGCAATAAAAAAAGACCAAATTGGTCCCCGAAAGTACAAGAAAAGGGCCAGTCTACATATTTGGGAGTTGACATAAGGACTAGCATGACCCATTTTTTTGTAATTTCAGGGACCAATTTGGTCCTTTTTTATTGCCAGGGACTAAAAAGGACTTCGTAGATATTGACAGGGACTGAAAAGGGTGTTTACTCTTATATCAATTAAACAACCCAAGTTTCAAACCAATCTCATCAATATGAAAAATGATGTCCATAGAAGTCTGCCCGAATTAATTTCGAAGTCCTGAAGAAATATCATCGTTCAATATATAAAATCCATCACAATCTTGGGTTTAAAAATTCCTTTGAAACCAAAGTGTAGCTACGCATGACATTTTTAGGGAAGATAAAATAAAATAACATGGAACCCTCACCAAACATGAGTCGAAATAAAAATAAAAATCCATGACTACTTGCAAAAGACAAAACAGAGCAAAAAAAAGGAGAGCACCACACCCACGACCTAGCAATGCAAGTAAACCAGTGTCAAGTTCAAGTTCTAAGAAACTTAATAGTACACTACGACTGTGACGATTGTAAATATTGCTCTTTAAGCCTTAACATGCATCAAGCTTTCCTTTTTAAGCATTAAACTCATGATCAAAGGTTGGTACACATACCCCAGCTCAAAACAGAAGAAGAGGTTGCTCTTTGGAGCTCACAATCAGCCCCTCAAGACTGACACAACAAGGTGCACGAAAATGGATCAACAAGCTTGGACCTTTCAACACAAAGGAAACTTCTTGGACCTCACAATTCCAAAACAAAGGCTCCCACAAACAACCAACCCAAGTCAGCCTCAAAACCTCACACACAGCAGCTCTCTCAACTCAGAAAAGACCAGCAATGGAGTCCCAAAGCTAGCTCTCACCCTCACCAAGTGTCTCCCAAGTGAAAGTGTGAAGAAAATCAAGAAAGGAAGTGTCTTGGACTCAAAATGGAGAAGAAATCCCAAGGAGCAGCCAAGCTGATCAGCCACCCTCACACACTCACGTAGAGAAAGTAATATGGCCTAGGGTTTAGTGCCCACTAAGGCTTATATAGTGGTTTAACAATTAAACATACAATATTAACTTCAATTGCTACGCTTAGCATTTTAATCCCAAACTTTGAAATCTGAAACTACACATTTTTCCAAGAATTAACATATTTTTCTTATAATTTTCTGAGCACCTTTCCAGTACGCGCTTTTCCAAGCCAGTACCGGTTTCTAGCACCAGTTCTCATTATTTGGACTTGAAACTCGTTTTACAAGTCCTACACATAATTCTAGTAATTATCATGCACTTACTTTAATTTTCCGGGACACTTTTTCGGTACTCATTTATACCGACTAGCAGAACTGATATCTGCACTTTTCTTCCGAAAAGCGACTTTCAGCATTATTACTCACTTACTATAATTATTAAAACCTCATAATAATTATTAGGGTCAATTATGGAATCATTTCCTAATTTTGCATAATTTATTAATTAAATTCCTTAATTAACGGTGCGGGTTCTTACAATAGTGCTGGCCGTGGCTTGGTGGTGGTGACGGCAATAACAGTAGTGGTGGTGGTAATGGTGACGATGGTGGTGGTGGTGGTGGTGTAGTGGCGGTGGCATGGTGATAGTAGAGTTGGTGGTGGTGTAGTGGCGGTGGCATAGTGATAGTAGAGTTGGTGGTGGTGGTAATGGCATGGTGGTGGTGGTGGTGGTGGTAACGACAATGGCTGCAATGATGGTAATAATGGTTTGTGACGGTTGTGGTCATGGCGGTGTGGTTGGTGGTCCTAAAAAATTAAGACCTATTGATTGTTTGAATGCTCCTTAATTTCAATTGTTTGTTGTAAAGTTATTGCTTTATTCCCAATAGCAATTTCTCGATAAATTGTGCTGGAGCAATCGTTAAGTGTAGGATTAGAGTAGTACTGAGAGCAATTTGACTTGATCAATTTTTCATGAGCTTAATGGGTTAATTTGCTTTTTGCAAGAAATCTAAGGCCCAACCAAAAGAAGATCCAAGTCAGCAATGGAGGAAATTTGCAAGGAAAGGAAGCAGAAAAAGACAAAAGAGACATAAAAGCAAGAAGCAGTGCTTGGAGCAGAAAAATAACCAACCACTTTTTATGATAGATATTAACTTTGTAAATATGTTTTGAAATAATAAAACATGTCAATGAGCTTTTCCATAGGGTTTTCAAATTTTTTTCAAGTATTTAAAGGTTATGGATTATGCAATTTGAAAAACACGTTTATTTTGAGAAAAACTTTGAGCTTATGCAATACAATCTACCATGTACCCTTACACACGAGTCTAAGTTCTAGAGATATAATTCTAAATAAGATTTTGGACTTAACTTCATGTCTTGTGTCTTGAATCTTTACTTGAACTTGATGTTTGGACTTATAAGACAATGCATGACACTTTGTTGGTTTTGATCATTTTTCACCATAGTTGTGATATTGAGCTTCTCTTAGATATTGTCCATGGTTAATTTTCTTTGATCTTCAATGTTTATCCTTGTTCTTGCCACTTTGATGACTCATCATTCTTCTTGTATGACTTTATCATATATCTTTAATCTTCACATAGGCATTATACTTTTTGTTCTTGATCAAGGTTATTCTCTTTTTGTTATTGTCACTTTGTTATCATCAGAACATACATTGTAAAAAATGTCCTAAGGAACTGAACCGAACAATTTTCGATCCAAACTAAACAGTTTAAATCAATTCAATTCGATTTTTAAAAAAATCCAGTTCAATTCGATCATGCACACCCCTACTTGTGAGGAGCTTATAAACTTGTGATGCTTTGGTTCCTTTTGCTGGGTTTTCAATTCAGTTCCCATATTGTGCTTTTAAAAAAATTCAGTTCACTACCTTATTATGTTTTCATTTCCCATTCTAGTTTCTTTTTTCTTTGGGGCTACACCCATCTATTGTACCAAAAAATAAAATAAAATAAAATAAAATAAATAAAATCAAAGTTAAACCAAGTGGATCAACCTCGTAAGTGTCATGGACTCACATAATGAGTCTCACAAGATGTAACAGATGAGAGTCCAAATCCATCGTAATTCAAAATATAAATTAGAAATAATAGACCTTATTCAATTGAGAGTTTGAATTCTATTTAAAGTCTGTCACCTTCATATAAACCCTCGCAATAATGGATAAAACATCTTCATGTAAATCCCAATTCCAAATGCAACGGTTTCTGTATGTAAAACGTCTATAAAAGACATCTTTATTATATCAATAAAACAACCCAAGTTTCAAACCAATCTCATCAATATGAAAAATGATGTCCATAGAAGTCTGCCCGAATTAATTTCAAAGTCCTGAAGAAATATCATCGTTCAATATATAAAATTCATCACAATGGCTAAAAATTCCTTTGAAACCAAAGTGTAGCTACGCATGACATTATTAGGGAAAATAAAATAAAATAACATGGAACCCTCACCATAACATGAGTCGAAATAAAAATAAAAATCCATGACTACTTGCAAAAGACAAAACAGAGAAAAAAAAAGGAGAGCACCACACCCACGACCTAGCAATGCAAGTAAACCAGTGTCAAGTTCAAGTTCTAAGAAACTTAATAGTACTACGACTGTAACGATTGTAAATATTGCATTTGTAGAAAGCAATAAGGAGCTTATCATCTTAGCAATATTTCAAAAACACTTTAATACTCCCCAATGGAAGGAATACGGAGCTCATCATCTAAGCAACTTATGAAAAGCACCTTAACACTCCCCAAAGGATGGAATAACGCGGGCAAGCCAGGTATGGTCTGAAAAAGTACAGCAGCGAACATTAGCAACCAAGTCATCAAGCTCTTGCTTGCAATCACTAGCCGCATCAATAACACTACAAGACCACATAAAAATTCAACTCAAAACTTTAAGGTGTTGGATGAAGGCCTTTTCAATGGTTTATTCTCTAACACACCTATGATTTAAATTATTCTCTAACACACCCCCTCAAGTAAGAGCCATTTGAATTTGAAACGTGAATATTGCATAGGTCCAATTTTTTTTGTTTTTTTTTACCTTATGCTTATTTAATTTCACAAGCAAGGGGTGGTGAGGATCAAACTCGTGACCTTGTGGTC